ATCCCAATCCATACACACATCAATTGTGTAAAGCGCATTTGTACATCGTTTCTCAAAACATTTTCTCTCCATTTAAACCCCCGACATTAGGTTAGAAGTGTATTGTAAGTGACACCGAAAAGCTCAATAAGGGAAGACAGCTGCATGGATGTGGGCACGTGCGCCTGTTCTTAAGACCCAGAACTTTGAGGTGTTTCTCAAAGTCAGCACTAAATTGTTAGAGCAGCAGACTGGCAGTGGCTTTTAGAACGACCCAGAGCTTCTGTTTTCTTAGCTAGAAATTAGTCTCTGAAACTCAGACTGCTAAATTACCCTGTGTCATTGGTGGACAAAGGGGATAATTTGGTGTTTTCATAGGTGATTACTGATTCCAGCAGATTATCTGCTTGTCATATCATAAAGAGATTGGCTATTTGAGCACCCAGATTTGTGTCTGTACAAAACCCTGGGGGTGCGGGGTTTTGTTTTCCCCCCTCCCTTTATAATACAAACGTAACTTCGTCCATTTACGTTTACTGTAGGATTGGGACGTGGAAAACTGGCAGTTCCCATTTTCCTCTTTAGCCTGCATCCTTGGCCTGGCTGGCCCTGAAGCAGCAGATGAAAACAAAGCCCGGGATGTGAGGTCTAAGGGTTTCTAGGCCGGGCCTTCCACTGCTGGGCCAGCCTTCTCTTCAGTTCTCTGGATCTAGACTCAAGTGTGACAGCCATCTGTCACACTTGGTGCTCAGGTCAGGCTTCAGGAGAAGAGTCCTGGATTTTTGGAAATGGGTAGGGCGGTGGGGACGGGGAACCAGGGCTCACCTTCATGGTCAGCTTTCCTTTGGGGAGAGTGAAAAACGCTTGTATTGGGTGCGTTACCTATTTGGTAGATGACTGGAACTTGGTGCCAAAAAGCCATCATTGCTTTGGAGCAGTGGCCATTCGCTGTTTGTTAGTCAGCTTGTGACCTCAGTCCCCCCAAAGAGGGAACGGTAGTCGGTTCTTGTCATCTCCTAACTATACACAGCAGAAAGAAGAGGCATGCCAGGGCTGGTTTTAAGAGCTGCCGGGAGTGAAGCAAAGTCTTCCTTCCTCATCTGAGTCTTCCAGGAGCGGCTGGTCGCCTTCCGGAGGCTTTGATTGGATTTGATCACTCCTGGGGAAATTAGTTTTGAACCCACACATGTCACAGAAGTGACTGGAATAGCATCGACGGGTTTGAGTGAAAGAAGGTTGATTCACCTTCTCTTGATGAGGCCGTGGACAGGTGGGTAGTGGATAGACTTGAATTACAGGTCATGATGAGATTAGAGAGGGGCTGAGCCCTCTACTCTGCCCGGGTTTCAGAAGGGCCATAACCTCTCACCACCTCCGTCTCTTGGTTCACTCCTGGTTGACCTGACGCAGATCACTTCTTTATCTGTGCATTCAAAGGCCAAACTCACTGGCATCAAGGCAGTTCTGACTCATAACAACCCTATAGGATAGAGGACAGCTGCCCCTGCCCCTGCCCATGCCCATGCCCATGCCCTTGCCCCTGCCCCAGTGTGTTTCCAAGACCATAAATGCTTACCGTAGTAGAAAACCTCATCTTTCTCCTGGGGAGTGGCTGGTGAGTTTGAACTGCTGACCTTGTGATTGGTTAGTAGCCCCGTACATAACCCATTGGGCCACCAGGTCTCCTTTTCCCATAAGAAGAAAGTCGAAAGTCGGGGTGGGGGGGTGGGGGTGGGAGAAAAAGTGGAAAACAAAAGCATTTTACTGGACCCTTAGGTGGAACAGAATGCTCAACATACCTGTCTTGGTTAATTTTTCCTGTATCAAAGCTTGTTTTTTCTTGCTTGGGAGTGGCATGCTGAGGTGGAAAAATGAAAGGTGTTGCTCTTCTGTTGCAAGTTTTAGGTTTGCCTGCCTGAAATGAACCCCCTATAGGGCAGGCCGAGACAGCCCCGGGCTTCTCTGGGAATGACCAGTCAACCTTTTGGGTCATGTTCCAAGCACTTTCACCACTGTGCCACCGGGGCTCCAGAAGACAAGGCTCCTCCTCTAGTGTGCCAGTGGCTCGCCCTACCACGTAGACGCATGCATAGCCAAACCTCAGCAGTGCGGCACAGGAGGGCAAAGAGCATTTTCATCCTTTCCGTCTTGCTTCTCTCTAGTCTGACCTCAGAAGAGAGCCGGCTTCCTACCGGGGAGTGGACGTCAGGAGTCGCCTGCCCCACTCCTTGTCTCAGTGCTAGGTGGTCTATTCTAGACTTGCCAGCTCCGGGAGCAGGTCTGGGGCCTGGGGAAACCCTAGGAAACCCTCTGGTTTCCTAAAGTTAAACAGGGTGAAGCGGTGCACGTACAGAAAATTAGGATTTTTAGAACAGGAAAAGGCATTTTAAAAATCTCCTAATCTAGCCTTCACTTGTACAGACTAGAAAATGGTGGCCCAGAGAGGTTTCCATGATTTGTCCAAAACCACACAACCATGAAGAGTTCGTGGTGAGCCGGCATTTATTGGCAGGAGAACCTTGTGTTGCACATTGTCATGACCAGAGTTCTTCGGGCAAGTCAGAGAGTGGTCTGCGCTGACATGGAGAAAGCCCTGTGCTCTGACTCAAACTGTGTGATGGGGACAGGACCTGTGAGATGCCTGGGAAGGCAGCCTCAGGAAGGGAAGGGGCAGGCTTTCTCCAGGGAAGGCTGGGGGAAAGGGTACTTAGGACTGATAGGAATACTAGAACAGGCTAGAGACTGAAACATGGTGAAACCAAGGTCTCAGTGGGAGGCAGGTTAGAAAAACCCACGGACGATGGAGGAAGTTCTGAAATGGTTGCCCCAGTAAAATGGAGGAGGGGAGCTGGAAGGTTGAAGTCATCAGGTTACTGTGGGTTTGTGAGGTGCTGGAAGAAAAAATGATAGGATAGGAGTCCATCTCCTTGTAATTGAGGCAGGAATGCCTGTTGATTGGCTCGTTAATTTTCTAACCACTTTTAAGACCTGAATTTCAGTGCAAGAAGTCACATTTTGAGACAGAATAGTGAGACCTAAAAGTTGAAAAATAGGGAGTTTTTTACAGCCCCCAAATTTTAAAGTCCTAGTTGTAGAAGTGTCCTTTTTGCTTGTTGGAGAGTTATCAGTCTTTTAAAAAAATTGCTTTGTTGTTGAACATAACACAGCAGAGCATGCAGCAGTCAGTGGTTTCTGTCAGCACAGTTTCATGACAGCGATTGCCGCCTGTTCCTCCGTAGCTGGCTTGTTCGACTCTGTCAGAGAAGGTTCCCTCTCGTCCCCAAGTCGCTCTTGTC